TTTTTTTTTTTTTCATTGATTTTATTTCCATTTTTTTTACCATGGTTTGTATTTATTAGTAATATCTTCAATTGACGTCGGCAGAGTACAACTTTTTAAATTTATTAAAATTAATTTCACTATTAAGGATTAAATTTGGTTGATTCATTCGGGGGGGGGGGGGGAGTACAGTTTCAGGTACTTGGTATGGCACATTAAATTGAAAGAATATTTCAAATTAAATATTAGAATTTTTAAATTTAGAAAACTAAATGTGTATGGATTTTCTTAAATAGACACAAACTTCAACTCATTATTGTCAATGTATAATACTTATTATATTTATTTCGTTGAGTTTCTTATTAATTTTTTATATTATGTTTTATTCTTTTTGTCACACCAAAACCTGAATGTTGGCATAATGATCTTGTTGATAATAATATGCAAGATAAAAGCCTTGATGAATCATATAATCCAATTTATATAAATGTTATTTTGTGAGAAAATAAAAATAAAAAGCGATGTTGATTAATGATGACTGATAAGTGATAGGCATACATTTAAGTTTTATCTCAATATTTTAAAGTTTCTGTTACAAATTTTTTAAAATTACTTCAAATACCATGTCTTGAAAGATACCAAGATTTAAATTTTTTAAAATCACTTAAAACCACAAAAACCAAATCAATCATAAAGCACATTAATAAATAACCAAACAACAATAAAAACAATAGTACTCTAATTTACTTTTCTATAGATATTAGTTAGGATGGGCCTTGCCTATTTTTTCCTCAAAAAAATTGAAATTAAAAAAAAACATAGATTATGAAAATTAACAAACTAAGTGGTAAAAATCTTTACACCTAAAAAACATAAGTTCTAATTTTGAGAAGTATAATTCATATTAAAAAAAACAAACATTATAAAAATGTTCTTGTTAAGCTATCTGGAGAAAGAAAAAAGAGAAATTCTATGCAAAAGAAAATATCTGATTTGTCGTAGAACAACATGCTTTAATAGAAAATATAAATATCATTAATTTAAAACAATAAAATAAATAATTTACGCTATAATAAGAGAATTTAATTTTTCTAAGAAAACTATTTTGCAGATATAAATACTTTTTAGTAATTTTTAATTTAGTATTTATATGTTTTTCCTCTTAATTAAATACTTTAAATTTGCTATGTTAACACAATTAGCTCTTGCACAGCGACCAAACTCCATTAGACTTACATTTTGTGGAGGAGTATTTTCATCGAATAATACATATATTCAGGTTTTGTGTTCCATCAAGGTATCAGAATCGAAAATGTTGGGGAATGGTAAGCAAAAAAACAAAAATGAAGAATCAATTGGATAGAGAAAAATTAAAATTTTTTTTTTCTACACATAAATATTCTCCTATTAGAGAAAATCATATTCTAGGAATTACATGTAAACATCTCTTTTCATAAAAATTCGAATCTTAGTTTATCATATTTTGATATATCAGCTCTTTTCATTAAACTCAAACTAGCTAGTAAAATTAAAATATCCAGTTAAGAGAAAAAAGTACACGAGAACCAACTTAAAAATTAAAGGAAAGTATAAATATCTGCAAAATAGTTTTTCCTAATTTCCTCACCCAAGTAAAATTGGGTCTTGAAGTATTTTACGAGGCGAGAGTCTTTTCTGCCCACAACCAGTCGATTTGGGCCTGAAAGCCCACAATACGACACAGTATGGAAGACGAAGAAAAAGAAAATTGAAAAGGAAAACGCTAGAAGGAGGGCTTGAACCTCCGACCTTGTGGTTAACAGCCACACGCTCTAACCAACTGAGCTATTCCAGCTTTGTTGGGGGTTCTTCAAATGTCATTATATACTGACTTTTTCTAAATGATTGACAAAACCACATAAATATTAATTTTTAACTATTGTAATTTTTTAAGGTTGACATGCAAATTTGTCACAATATTTTAAAATTATAATAATTTTGTCTCATACCATTAAAAATGTTAATAGCCAATATCACTATTTTAATAGTCAATTTAAGTTTTTTAATAATGGGAAGAAAATTGCTACGAATTTATTTTTTTTAAAAAAAAAAAATATTTGCACGTTGAAAAGATTTCAGGGGCAATTCTAAGGCAATTTCGGCTAGGGTGTTGCGCATTTAGACCCAAGAAGAAACACTTGAATATCAATCCAGCTCGAGTTTGTTTATTTTGTTAAAGTTAATAAATTTTCTATTTTATTTTCTAATTGCTTCTCATTGCTCAATTTGTAATTTCTAGGTTTTCAAGGACAAGTTCTAATGAGAGATGTTTTAAAATAGGGTAAATCAGATGGCGAAAGAAATCTGATTAGAGGGATATAAAATCAAGTCATGAAAAATAATCTCACTCGTACGGCGATAGTACTATGGGTTTTTAAACTAAAAAAAGACTCACATAACAACAACAACAGTAATAATAAATAAATCCTAATATGTCATTAATAATTAAATGGAACCGAAACACTAGTTAATGACTCTTGGCTCATGACCTTATTAAAAAAAACGAAAATTACAAAATAAATTTGATGACTTAAACAAAATAAACAAACTGTAGATGAATTTATATTCAAGTAATGCTTCTTGGGTCTAAATGCGCAACACCATGAGCCAAATTGCCTTGAAATTGTTTTGTAGGTTTGCATTAGGGTGCATAGCCCTTGTGAGTGAAAAAAAAAAAGAGCACATTAATCCTATTTTTTTTAATATTCACTTTTATATGTTTACTGTGGGCATAAATTTTTTTTTTGGGCCAAACGTAGGCATATAATTAGATAATTATTATTCTTAATAGAAAACTCAGTCATCTAAAGAATGCATTTGAGATTCTTGTTTTTACATTTCGATATAACGGAATAACGGATGCTCTTTTTTTTTTTTTTTGCCAACAGGAATAACGGATGCTCTTAGAATACCACTTTGGTAGAGTTCATTGGTTTTTGTTATGGAAAGATAACATCAAATATTACCTCCGATCCTAATTATAAAAGCCAGTTGACTAATTTCAGAAAATTAAAAAAGTAAGTTGAGTTAGTTATATATCCTAAATAGGTGTTGTCTTTCCTAAAATATCATTGCTAATCAATTATATTGATTAGACCTATCATTGTTAAAAGGGCTACTTTGGAAAAAAATATAAATATGAGAGACAAAGTGGATTGGGGTCTTATATTTAGGACCAAAATAAAAGTCAAACAAGGTCTTATATTAAAGATCGGAGGTAGTATTAATATGTTATGTTTGTTTTCGTCTCTTTCAATAAGTATATCTGATCATATTATTTAGAAGTCATTGATTTAGGATCTTGCAAGTGTTGATCAAATTATACTTAATCTCCATAACTCATTCTTCATGCGGAAGAAGCCAGTATTCTTATTCTGTATGTCCTACATGATAAGCTCATCGCTGTAAAGTATTATACAAGAAAAATTACTGTGAAGTTCGAAAGAAAGAATACAGGGTTAATATAATTTTTAATTTCTGAAATTTGTTCTCATTTTTAGTCTACCAGGTTTCAAACTATAAGTTTTAATCTTTTAAGGGATAAAATGGTCCAAATTTTTATTAAATTATAAGGGACTAATATTTTAAATAAAAATAAACTTCAAATAATAAAACCTATGTTTAAAATTTTAAGAATTAAAATTAAAATGAGGATAAATTTAAGTAAGCAAAAATTATATTAACCGAAGAATATAATTATAAATAAATCTTAACTTGCAATAAATAAGTAAGATGCAGTGACAAATTTCAATGCAATAAATGACAATAAGTTTATATTGCTTACTTGTTGCGAGTTCAATATCTTAAACACCAATTTTTTCAAAAAAAAAAAAAAAGGGAGTTATGTTAGAGAAGTTAAGATGAATTAGGTAGTTGAAATAGGCTTCATATACAAGATCTTATTATTATTGTGTAGGTGTAATGCAACTATAAAAAAGGTATTTCTAGACTTCATGAGATCAAATTGGTAAGGCATAAAATTACTTTAAAATAAGTAATTCAAATACTCACATAAATAATCATTTCTGAAAAAGGTTCATCGAGCATAAATTTTCAAAACTATTTTATGATCATTGCAAAATACGAACATTAACTAATATATGCCCTTTCTGTCTTTTCTTAATTTATTTATACTTCAGTATTTCATTCCAGTTTAGTTAGATCCTTGATGTCTGCTCTCTTAAGAAATTTGCTTCTACGTACTTCTGTTCTAAATTCAAGTCCCAACAGCATCGTTCTTTTCGAAAAATGAAAAATTCAAAGTTTTAAGTGTTAATAATCTTGTAGGGAAAATGAATACATACATTTCTATGATTCCATGCATAGGAATTTAATTAAAAATTGGGTGAAATATAAAAAATTAACTTAAATTAAAATCTATTAAAATTGTTTTCGTCAAAACTCACGTGAATTGTGAGATGACGATTGAAAACAACAAGAGGACATGATAATTGTGGTTCTTAAATATCATTTCTCTTATAAATAATTATATTTAAAAATACCATTGATGGGATGTCTCAAAAAAAAAAAAATCAAGTAATCAACCAATCGTAAGATAGACGATCTGCTCTGTGAAAGAACTAGAAATTCTCAATGTGTAACTAAATATCATCAGATTTAAAATAAATAAAATATATTTATAAAGTACTCTTTCAGAGTTTCAGTTTTAAATATAAAGTTTTTTTTTATAATATAATTTCCACTATAAAAAGAATCTTATATTTAGGATAAAAAAATATATTACATATTTAATTCAATTAAAATATATTATTCTATTTGTATTCTTTGCCACTTCTTATTGAACAATTACTATACGTTTTTCTTAAAATTCATATTTTTCTGTATATTTTAAAAATATAACATTTCTTTTATAAAATAAAAAAAAAAGGCATATATATAAATATATATATATATTCATGTCACCTCTTATTCCAAGAAATTCGTATTTCTCACCACCCAAAATCGGATAATAGACGGTCTGCTTTATAAAAGAATGGTATAAAATCTGTTATTAATACGCCATTTTCTGTCAGACTTTACAGTACATGATGATGATTATTATGCTGTTTACAAACAGAATTAACACCCCTACTTTGTACATTATCCATCTTAGTCTTAACCCTAAATTCAATTTAGAGGGAGGAAAACAAGAAGGCGGAGGAATCGGACTAAGATATGATCAAATACAGCAAAATCAGATCAAAATTTCAATGAATTTCATGAAGTTTGATCCCTCAATCCATTCTCATTGCTTCCAAATCCATCAAACAATACCGTCAACAACGTCACCGCCTTGTTCTTCCCCTTGGCGCTGCCGTTCTCCGCCACGTCGGCGAGGCCGTCCGTGGCCGTCTCGGCTTTCTCTCTCACATCCGCCGCAACCTTGTCCCCTCCGCACATCACCAGATTCAACAGCGCAGACACGGCATTCTCCTTCGTTCTCATACTTGACCCAGTCGCTGAATCCATTAGATCTACCAACACTCCGATTCCTGATACCTTCCGAAACGCCTCTTCGCTCTCCTCGCAACCGGCGATTTGCGCGATCACCGCCGTGGAATCCTCCACGATCCCGATTCTTCCATCCTTCACAACTAGAGAAAACAACGGCGCAACCGCACCTAGATGGATCATCGTGCTTCGATTAAGAGGATACAGCGAGATTCCGAACAAGGCCTTGAGAGCGTCCTTGATCGACCGAGACGGCGAATTGAGGCTCTTGATTATGTCCACAAGCGCGTACACGATGTCACGTTTCGATCCGATTATCGGCCGGTACTCATCAACAACGAGGAGACTGTGCAACGTGGCGGCGGAGGATTGAACGGCGGTGGGAGAAGACGTATCTCGATGATGCGACAAAACGTGTGAAATCGCGTCGAGGACACCGCGCGTGGACACGAGAGCCTCTTTACAAGATATCGAGATATTCAAAAGCGTCGCCGCGGCGTTCTCCTGAGAATCAGGCGTAGACGAATAAAGTGTTTCTGCTAAGTAAGGAATCGCACCAGAATCAACAATCAGAGGACGAATTTCTGAATCTAGCTTCGTCATAAGACGAAGCTGACAAAGAGCATCCACTCGAGTCTTCTCGGAAACAGAACTCAATTTTCCGACGAGATTACGAACTGTTCGGCGCTTAGCCTCCGTGGAAGAACCGGAGAAACTCATTTCTGCGGCGAAAAGCGATTATGGGGGAATGAGTATTTCAATTTTCAGGGTTTGGTGTGAAAAGCGTGAGGGGATGAGGATCGATGTTGTGGGGGTAGATGAAAGCGAAAGGTGAGTGCAGGAAAAGAAGTGAGAGAGAAGAAATAGAAAAGATGGCGGAGAGATGACAACTGGGCGGAGGTGAATGAAAAGACGAAAAAGGGCTCGCCGTCTTCGATGAGCGTCGCTGTCAGCTTCGGAGAAGGTTAGAGCTTTTGACTATTACAGAGGGGCACGGACAGGAATTGAGGAAGAAGACAACTTGCTTCCCAAAGATTCCTTTCACTCTGATATTCATTCTTTTTTTTCCTGGAAAAAAAAAATACAAGGATAAATAACTAATATGAATTTTTAATTTTAAAAATTATAACTAATATTGTACTTTTTTTATTTTTTCAATATGCTAGTATAACTTAATTTTAAATTGGTAATTTTTTAAGGGAAAACCATATTGGAGGTACCTATACTTTTTTTCAATTTTCAATTTGGTACCTATGTGTTTTTTGTTCTTAACTAAATCTTTATTTTTCCTCTATTAACATCATTAATCCTTATGTAGAGACTAAAAATATCAATAGAACAAAGTTATAAGAGCTAATGTTGCTAAAAAGATAAAATTAAATGTTTAATTAAAGAGAAAAAAACACATAGGTACCAAATTAAAAATTGAGAGAAAGTATAGGTACATTCAATATGGTTTTCCCATTTTTTAACAGTACAAACAATAACTTTAAAAGGTTCAAGCAGAAATCTTAATCCTCTAAAATTGAGGATAATAAATATGAGTAGAGAATGTAACGGGGGAAAAAACTCGTTTTTAATGATTTGTTGATTGGGTAAATTTCACCCAAATTCACCATACTCAATGTCAGAAATTTTATAAAATTTGATTTCATATAATTAAGAAAAAATGTTTTTTTTCCCCTTTGTTTTTGCTGAACAGACTATAGAGACGATGTCCTATGAATGAAGAAAGTGATAAAATATAATGAATTAGCTTTTTGTTCACACGAAGGATTGTTTAGAATGAAAAGAATCTTTCACTTTTAACAATTCTGGCTTTCTTTGGCAACAGAAGAAGATTAGGTCTAGCAGAAAGGATTAATTTCTCATAATGTGACAAATTAATGTTTGAATCCTTACTGAAAGAAATATTTATATTTAGTACTCGACAGTATTTCAAATAAGATTACTTTCAATAAAAGGATACTTATGCTTTAAAAAAAATTGGGGCCTTTTCTCTCTGTCCCCCCCCTTTCCTCTTTTTTCACAAATGAATTTTCTATAGACTCGTCTTTAACAAATAACAAACAGTCATCCACGTTTAAAATGCACCAAAGGCCAATCTCTTTAGGCATGAAAAAAAATATAGTGATGAAATATACACAAAGAGGGGGGACGGAAAAAGGAAATCAAACGTGCTCTCGTAGACGCACATCTATTTTGATTGTTTTTAGTTGAGTATTTTAATGTTCAATTAAACATATTTTCATACAATATTACTGTTCCAGTCTTTAATATAAGACCTATTTAATTACTTTAATTAAATTAAAAAAATTAGTTAAATTAGATAATAATAGTAAATATGACATATGTTTCCCAATATAACTTCATTTAAAACTTCTTTAAAAAACTAACGTTTCAAAGAATGTTTTAAATTATTTTATTAAAAATATAAAACAGTAGAATTGATGTATGTGTGGAATTAATGAATAATAAGCACTCGCTCACTTTATAAAATATATAGGTGTATTATTAATAAGTAATAAGTATTATTGTAGTATTTAATTATTTAACAGGAGTAATTTAGGAAAGAATTGACAAATATGATAAATAGGTCATATATTTGAGATTAAGATTAACTTCTAATTAGGTCATATATTAAGCACTAAAATAGGATGATCTTTTTTTAAGGTCAAAATTTGCACTTAATTCAATTCGGTATTAAGTCGGTGAGTTGATTTAATTAAATCATTCTTTTCTGAAAATATTTTTTTTATAATATTAGGCCAACGGATGCATCTTTCTTGCCGGACTCAGCTTGGGCTGTTCCGATCCAACTGTTAAACTATTTGCTTTCATGTTTGACGATAATTCAATCTCAAGTCTGTAATTTTTAATTTTCAGATTATAAGGGTCTAGTGATTAAGACAACATGATTAGTAAATTTCACAAATGTAAAAAACATAAACAATTATTTGTTAAACAATTTTTTATGTTCTAATAATTAAATCAATAAAAAAATTGTTTACACGTACAATTTGTCAGGATAAAAAATTACTATCCTTAAAAGTAATTTTGAAAAACGTAGTTGAAATTTGTCAAACCTTAGCTCCCTTAGGGAAGGACACGAATGATTATTATTTTATGATTTTTGCTTGGATTTTGTTATGGGTGCCTGAGATTGTATTTGAATTTAATACAGGCTATCTTATGAAATTATTTAATTTAGTTCAAATGATGTAACCAGTAGATGTAATCCTGCTTATAATAATAAGCCCTTGCAATTTGCAATTAATTTATTGCTTTATAGTATAATATGATTGATGAAACTCATCCTCTCCTTTATTTTTTGAGGATCTTTTGATGTATATTGATTTATGATAAAAGGGCATGAATTTGGTATTTATCAATTATCATAAAAATAATTATTTTGTTGTCATCCTTTACCCAGCGAAAAAATTCAAAAACCCATAATGTCAGGTACACAAATTTATATTTAATTGAGACCTAATAAAATACAAATAATCTAAATTAAATTTAAATATTTTATATTTTATATTTAAAATTTTAATTTTTTTAGTAGCAAGGTCACTTTTAAATAAAATTATTAGTTAAAAAATAAAATAACATCAAATCTGATCCACTAAATTCCAATATGAACGGATGAAATCCATGGTGCATATCACCAGTTCCGTCTCAAAACAACTATTAGTATAATTATTTTCTATTTAAATAAATGATATTTGGTACAACTAAGTTGGATTTAAATATTGTGGGACATATAAAGGTTGCCTTTTCAACAATTTTTGTCAACAAGATTTAAATATAATATTTTTAAGGAGACGTGGGCACTATATATTAATTCTTAGTCTTTCCTTCTTTAATTCTATTTTGTGTTTACTTTTCTCTGGGTTTAATCTTCCAACTGCACCTTCTTGTGTTCACTTCATCAACAAAACAAGTCAATCTGGGTTTGGTGAGCAACTCATAATAGGGTCAAACTTCCACTTCATTAAAATTATGGCTAAGGAATCCATATGAACCAATCAATATTTTAATGCTTTTATAAGTCACTTTTTCTGATCTTAAATGTAAAAATTAAATAATTAATTTTTTGATATTAAAAAAAATTAATTCTTCTATAAATTAAGTTGTTGATGGTAAGATTATTAATTTATAGTTATAAGAATTTAAGAATAAAGTAAATTATTTTTATTAATCGTTACATTTAGAATAGAAGGAAGTGCTTCGAAAGTGATAAAAAAATTTATTTAATAATTAATTGCAAGATTATTAATTTTCTTAGATATAAGAATATATTAGGAAATTGGGTGATAAGAAAATTTTACGTGTCAATAAGTAGTACACAGAGGAAAAAAATAGTGCGACTTATTAAAAAGATGGGATGATAGAGAAGGATATACATATATATATATATGTATATGTATATGTTGGCCCAAAGAGAAGGATAATAGTAGTATATTGATGTTTATATAATTCAATTCATTCGCTTGTTTGGATAAACTGTAGTTTGTTTCAATTAAAATCTGTCAAATTAGAAAATTTAAAAATATAAATGATATGATTATTAAAATAAATGACGCATGAATTTGAAATGAATATATTTTGAGGGGCAGCTCAAGATATCTCACTATTTTCTTTGCATAATAAATATATGATTCTAAGAAAATTATATTTTGAGTAGGTGAAACATCAAAAGATTATTCTTCCAGCGCAAGACATAATTAATCAATTTGAGTATATTAAGAATGTTAATTAAATTAGTTAGTATGGTATGTTTAATTTTTTCCTAAAACACCCGAACATCCTCCTTATAAATTTCCATCCTCCTTATCCTATTTGGTTATTATTGGAAGAATATCAATATAAGTAATCTGAGAAAAATTAATAAACATGTGAAATATGTTTTATATATGGGACCAATATCAACTTCCTCGTTAGTTCTTATATTAAAGGCCGGAGGAGTATTGTTCTTTGTTTTATTTTTGCGCCATCCTTCAGAATATTATTAGCGGAGCTTAACTTTAAACCTATTAATTTAGTCTAATTTTTTCATAAATGGCTGTAGTAATACAAAAGGCAAGAAAAATATGGTCAGAAAAGTTAATATAAGGCCAGCAAAATTAATTTATTATTTATTATCATTGCACGTGTTAACTAGCAAGGTTCACGACTATTTCCAGTGTGTCTGACTTGATGAAACAAAACAATCCCAACTTTCGGAATTTGAGTCCAATTTGTATCAGACCATTTATGCTGTAAAAAAATATAAATTGGTAATTGCAATTCTTTGAAAAATTCTGCTGAAAATTGCTTTTTAGCACAACCAATTCTATTTATTTATTTTTTTTCACCAGATTGGATAAAATAAGGCTTAATTAAATTCCTGTATACACATAGAATTAAACACGCATGTGTACTTAAAAAAATATAATAAAAGTAAATATGTTCAACTAATCCAATCATGGTCCTATTCGGCAAACTGAGTTTAGTCTTCGAGAACAGATTAGTTCTAACACTAAAAAGTGTTTGGTTTAAAAAAAAAAAAACACTTTTGAAAAGTACTTCTACATAAGTTAAGATAAAATTCATCTCACATATTTATTTTATATATTATAAAATCACTTTTAAAATGATGATTTCGTTTCCATCTCAATATCTTTAAGGCCAGGTCAAGATTAGTTCTTTTGTTAATATAATAATTTTTTCTGATTTTGGTTTAAAAAATAATGGTTT